TGGAAGGTGACAATATTTCAAGAAGGGTAAGAAGGGAGACCTTAGTAATGATAGACCTGCCAGTCTTACTTATAAGTGCCTGGTAAAATTATGGAGAAGGTTTTTTTGAGAGAAAATCCAGTCATTGATTATAGTGAGCACAGGTTCACAAGGCAAAAGTCCAGCTTAACCAACTTAATTTCATCTCATTATGAGGTCACACACCTAACTGACCAAGGGAAGCCAGTAAATGTGGAGTTTTGGAATTTTAACAAGCTTTTGATGCTACTCTAAATCGACTGCCCAGCACAAAGATAGACAAATCCTTAATATGTTGGGTAAATGGGGTTACCTCAGGCTGGCAGCCAGTGACCATCAGCATTCCCAAGGACTCAGTTTTACAGCCAGTGCTCTTCAATGTTTTCATAAATGATCTAGACACAGGAATCAAATGTACAGTAACTAAGTTTGTCAATGATACTAAATTAGGAAGAGCTGTGGGCTTGCTCAAGGGTAGAGGTCTTGCAGAGAGATTTGGAGAGCTGAGCCATCACCAACTGTATGAAATTTAACAAGACCAAGTGTTGGATTCTCCTGTGTCCCTTATTTGGGACACAGTAATCCTGGTTGTTCATACAAATTGGAGGATGAGAGACTGGAGAACAGCACCATGGAAAGGGACCTGGCAACACTAGTTGATTATGAGCCAGCAATGCCCTGGCAGCCAGGAGGGCCAAGTGTATCCCGGGGAGCAACAGGCAAAGCATGGCCAGCAAGGGAGGGAATTATCCTGCTCTGCTCTGCTCTGCACTGGGGGGAGGCTCACCTCGAGGGCTGGGGGCTATTTTGGGTGCCACAATAAATGAAGGTTATAAAGCTATTGGAGTGTGTCCAGAGGATGGTGACAAAAGTGGTGACAGGTCTCAAAGGCAAGACTTAGGAGGAAGTGGCTGAGGTTGCCTTACTTTGTTTAGCTTAGAGAAGGCTGGGGGGTGACCTCATCACAGTCTACAGCTTCCTGGAGGCAAGCAGTGGAGGGGAGGGGCTGATCTCCTCCCTCAGTGACCAGCAACAGGACACAAGGAAATGCAGTGAAGCTGCAGCAGGTAAGTTCAGATTAAACTTTAGGCAAAGGTTCTTCACTGAGAAGGTGGTCGATCACTGGAACAGGCTCCCCAAGGAAACTGCTGATGGGACTAAACCTGTCAGGGTTCAAGAAGCATCATCTGGATGATGCTCCTAGTTGGATGTTTAGTTTTAGGTAGCCCTCTGGGGAGCAGGGATTTGGAGTTATTGATCATTATGTGTCCCTTCCAATTCAAGATATTCTGTGATTCTACGTCTGTGGAACCTGATGGGATGCATCCCTGAGGGAGGGAGCTGGCCAGTGTGATGGCAAGTTCCCTTGGAGTGGAGTGTCTCTGGCAGGATTGAGGAAGATGATCCTTCCCTTCTACTGAGCATTTAACCACATCTGGAGTGTTGTAGGCAGTCCTGGGTTTCCCACTTGAGACATGGATATACTGGAGTGAATCCAGAAAACAGGTCCTAAAATGATTAAAGTATTGAAACATTTGAGGAGATACTGAGATACTGTTTAGCCTCAAGGAAAGAAGGCCTGGGAGGGAGTTTTACCAGTGTATATGAATACTTGGTTGGAGGGTATAAAGAAGACAAAGCTAGTCTCTTCCGAATATAGCAAAGTGGAAGGACAAGACACAACGGACACAAATTGAAATACAGGAAACTCCACCTAAATATAAAAAACCCAATGTTTTTACTGTGTACAATGCCAAGCACTAGAACAGATTGCCCATGGAGGTTGTGGAGTGTCCATCTTTGGAAATATTCAAATTCCAGCTGGACAAGGCCCTGGACAACCTGACTCTGGTGTGAGCAAGGGGTTGGTTGGAACAGATGACAGATTAATTCTGTAATTAAACCTTGATTTTTAGAAAAGTCTTGCATTTACTTTTTTCAGTGTAGCCCAATTATACTCATACTGCACTGCAGGTGACATGAGCGTGAAGTCTAACATATATCTCCTTTACTCTGTCAAGCAAGATGACTCCAGAGCTGATAAAACTGGAATACCTCTGGTTTTCTACCAGTCACTTAATGCAATTTCCATTTTGCTGTATATTTCTGGTAAAGTTTACTGTAAATCTGCAGATTTCTTGCAGTATGTTTATGACTCCAGTTCTGTAACTTTTCCTCTGATCCTTGAGCATAAAGAAGGAAAACATGATTTTGAATGTTAGTATGAAATTCCCTCAGGGTGGTGCAATTTCATAGGCAATTAGAAGCTGCATTAGAGTGGAAAGACAAAATAGGCCTGCTACTGACAGCCTAAATGCAGAAGAAAACGACCCCTTGCATCCCAGAAATGTGATGGCTTTGCAGGCTGGAATAAACACACATCACCCTAAATAAACTGTGAAATACAGCCTGTTTTATTTAAGGGGTGGTGGTTTTATTTTTATATTGCATTTGGCATTTCCTGATTTAAGAGCTGCAAGCTGTCTTCTGCCTACCACATGTTTCTGTTTGTAGTTCTGGCATTTGTATAACCCAGTGGTAGAAACTGTCATCCAGTTTCTAACTCACTGTACATTAAACATAGCAGTCAGAAGGATCCTAGCTCCAGACAATATGTTTTGCACCAGTATTTTTCAAAATCTCCTGCTTTTAGTCCTTGAAGAAAATCAAATGAGTTTATGTCTAGATTTCATAGAGGACAATTTTAGACCCATATAAAAGGGTTTAATTCTTCCAAGTATTCCATTTAGCACTGTAATTTGTGTTGCAGTCTGATCTGTGTTAAGAAGTAGATTCATGCCTATGCACACTTATTTTTGGGCTATATTTTCTCTTTGCAGTTAGCATCACAGTCTGACATCACAGCATATCAGTTTACTGCTTTTCAATCCACTTACTTCAGGAGAGAGATATGGTAATAAATTTGATTCTGGCTGTTCATGAAGCACAAATTTTGGCTGCTCAAATCCATTAGGATCTTTGTCTCCACCATCACCAGCTAGGGAATGGAATGCATATGAAGGTATATGACCAGAAACTGCTGAAAGAAATCACAGCAGCACATGAGTGCAACACAATCCGTAACTTCTTGCTATAGACCATTTCCAGCTGGCTCTCTAAGGCTATACTCCAAAGTATTCATAGATATATATAAGAACAGCATTAGTCCAGACAAGACCCAGAAAATTTCATTAACAAGCTCTTCTACTATTGCTTAGTAGGCCCCATAATTTTTTTACAGAAACTGGAAAGTCTACACTGCCTCATACTGAATGGTATGGAAGAAAATGGAATGACTGGTTGGTGACAAGATACCTAAGCAGTCTTCAATTTTAAGATATATTCCTTGGAGTCTTAATACACCAAAGGTACCACTAAGTCTGCAAATGCTATTTCAGTGAGCTTTTGTCCCCATGCATGTCACAAATTCTCTGCTGTTCTGAAACTTTCTATATGTTGTCTTCAGTTTCTTCACAAGTTTTTAAATTATGTCTAGCACCTTGTGGCTGATAGTGTGCCTTTCTTTCTCTGAAAGAGTCCTGTAAGATTGTCCACACCTTTAGAAGAAAGGCAATTCTGTCTCTTACCCACTATTTTACTCACTTAGCCAAAGGTTAAATGGAAAAGTTAGGCTGAGTCAAATCAGCATGTGCAGAGTATTATAGCTATTCAGCATACTGATGATTTCATGGTAAGTGCCTGTGTGCCTGTTTTCACCCACAGTACATGTAAGGCAGCTGCTGTGGCAAGCAAATTCCAAATATTTACCTTTTATACAGAGCATGGATGTGAGCAGTAACTGTCAAGTACCACTTTACTGCATGGTAAATCCACAGCCAAGCTTGCCTTCTTCAAGCTTACAGTCAATCATTGTAATGATTGTGAAGTAGTGAAGTAATATTTCCCTTTGCAGAAGCCATGCTAGTTAAACACACATAATCAACTCGATGTTCAATAACTGCTCTAAATGATTACTTGTAGTGCTTTGTAAGTATTTTTATCAGGCTTATATGTATGTGCCTGTATTTGGCAGTCTACCTGCTAGACTTCCCTTGTAGCTGCAAGATTTGCCATTTACCAGAGTTCTGGGATTGTAGCTTACTTCAGGGAGATAAGCCTGAAGGGTTACAGGCTGTTCAGGAAAGATGGATTGGGAAGGCAAGTAGGAGGGCTTAATCATTGTGAAAAGGAGTGCCTTAGGTGTGTGGAGCTTTACCTTGGCACAGTTGTTGAACCTGCAGAGAGCATGGGTAAGGACACGAGAACAGATCAGTGCAGATTTGTTCTGTTGATGTCACGGACATGTCTGCAACTAAATCACCTGATCAAGAAGAGGGAGGTGAAGCTTTCTTTGGCCACCATGCCCTAGAAGCTCTTCTGTAATTGGGAGACCTTATAGCGATGGGAGTTATGTCAAATTTTTTTCTCTTCTTTGGGACTACTTGGAAAATCTGATCCCAGAAGTGGGTATTTTTGAAAATTTACTTTGGGCTAAGCGAAATCTTTGAATTGAATATAAAGTAATTCTGTCTCCCACTGCCACCTTCTGCAAATGGAACTTGGAGAGTTTGAGATGACAAGGTGGGGAGATCCTAGTAGGTCCATTTGGACTGGTCACCACCTTAGGACCTTGCTGCAGATGAGCGTTCCAGTGCCCTCCCAAACCCTCCTGCCCTGACCCGTTCAGGTTTCCCGTACCCTTATCCTGGAAAACCATCACGCACGCAGTCCTGGCTGCAAGAGGGACCAGGTAAGACTCACCCTCCTCGCCTTCCCCTGACTCTCTGATCTCGCCGAGGGCAAGTCGCTCCCTCCCGAGGTGAGGTGAGACCGGGCGGGGCAACCGGGCTCCGGCTGCAGGTAGAGAGGGAAGGAGAGGCCGGGCCGGCCGTCCCGCCCCTGGGGCACAGCCCGCCTCGCCCGGTTATGTCACCCCTGCTCAAAACAAAGTTGGGAAAGTGGTTTCAGCCTTTCCGCGGTCTCGCTTCCAGCCCGGGGAGCGCCGGCCGGGCCAGCGGGAGGCGGCGGCAGGTGAGTGGGGGCCGGAGGAGCCGGGGCAAGGCCGGCGAGCTCCGTGCCCGGCCGGACCCTTCTCCCGGGGGGAGGCACCGCGGCCCCGCTTTGTCGAAGCCTGCGGAGAGAGCCCCGCTGTCCCAAGCGAGCCCCGCGCTGTCGCAAGCTGCGCTTCCTGCGCGGGCCTGCGGGCACGGGACCCGCCGGGGCCGGCGGGCTCTGTTCCCGAGGGCAGTGACGGCCCGGCAGGGGGGCACGGGCTGCCCGTGACCCTCCCTGGGCCGGCTGCCAGGCTGGAAGGTGGCAGGAAGGTGGCTGGAAGCGGCAGGCAGCAGGCTCGTGCAGCCCCCGCAGCGCCGGCTGCGGCGCGAACGCCCTCACGGCGATGGAGCCGGCTCCGTGGGGCCGGGGCCGGCGTGGGGAGCGACAGCTCAGTGCCGGGGCTGCGGCTGTCGTGACTGCTCCCACACGCGGAATGCTTCCCAAAGGTGGTGCCCAGAAGTGCCGCTGGCGGGGAGCCGCAGTGCTGGCGCTCCCGCTGTGCCTCGTGTAGCTCCGAGCCGAGGCCGGCAGACTCTGTCGGAGTGAAGTCCCTGCATGGCCGGGTCACCTCAGGGGCCGCCCCGCCGGTTTTCGCTTCCCTGCAGATACAGAAGACAGTTCTGGTGACTGCCTTCAGGCCTACCAAGTGCCTCCTGAAGAAGAAGGCAGTGCTGTTCCTGGTGGTTGTCGAAATGATTCTTGTGTCCCCCTGCGATAGTTTGGTGTCACTCTTACACTGCTGTAGCACTTATGTGGTCTCTGATTTCATTTTCTGTCTTTCTTGATACTGAAGGCTTATGATGACTTAGAAATGACAGTTCTGAAAGAAATGTACTGCTACCAGCATAATACATTTCTTAATATACACCAGTAGAACAGATTATGACTGCACGTAGTGAAACGTGGGTAGTGTCACAATTGGGAGAATGGTGAAATCCCTCTGGAACACTTTGGCTAATTTAATGTGCTCTTCTATTTTCTTAGTTGCAACTTTGTGGTTTTCAACGGTAGTTTTTAGCTTAGTTTCGTTTTTCTTTTTAGAATATGTGAATTATTTTGATGCATGGGTAAAAATTTATTGGTTTTCTGTGGGTTGTTCTAAGAACTCTGGTCCCCATATTTGAGCTTCAGTAATTTTACAGATCAAAAGGGAACTGTTACACCCAAAAGTACAAGAGTAAAAATTAAATGTTGGTCTTCTCTAAACTCGATTCTCATCTTTTATGAAAGCAAGGAAAGAAATCAAAAGTCAGACTCTGAAGTATAAAAAGGCAGACTCATTTTTGTGAATGGATTAAGTAGCAAACGAGATTTAGGGCAGTAATAGTTTACAGTCTCGTGGTCTGCCAGCTCTTGGGGACTTAAGTTCACTGCTGCTGAAATGAATGAGGTATGTTTGGTTCCTTGTGAATGATCTCTACCCCCCCCCCCCCCCCCCCCCCCTTTTCTCTCTTCTTTTG